GGATTGTTTGAATAATATATGTATATATGTAGTTTTGTTAACATCTTTTTCTTTCAAACTGGCTTCATGTGCTTTAACAATGTACATACAATTGAGATTGGAGGAAGAGAAGAGATTTTTTTGGCAAGATCAATGACAGAAGAGCCTGTCTTACTATGTTGCTTCTCCCTTGGCTTTTCATTTTCAAATTTGAAATCAGGGTTTCTCTCCTTTTGCCTTCATTTCAATATTTCTGCAAGAATATTTCTCGTTCCCCTTCTTGACCCAAGTCACAGAAAATATTACCCGAGGTGCGGTTTAGAACCTTAAGCTGATTTCATCCCTAAATTTACTGGAATAATGTCTCGAGTGCCGAACAGTTCCTTCCTATATGTTTGTTTTGCCCCGTGCACCCATTAGGAAATACAACGGTATGCTTTTGGTAACTGAGGACTTAAATGTTGGACTAATGAGGGACACGGAGCAGGAAGTCTTTTTTCTGCTCAACACCCCCCCCCAACCCAAAAAAAAAGAAGGGGGGAAAAGAAACGGCAGTCTTTCGGTGGCCAAAATGAGAAAAGAAAAATTGGACAATTATGCATTTAAGGTAGCAATAGACAGTGCTTTTGTGGACGTTCTATAGGAGATAAATGTTTCACATATCATCCAAGCCGCCTTATAATGTCAAATTCTCAATCCGCTAGCTCATTTTCTTCCCATATCAAGTCAGAAGAAAACATAGGTAGATGACCAAAGTGGTAGAGAGAGGGAATGAAGTGAAGGTCGGGAGTGTTGTCCTTTTGTTTTGTGTGCTTATACCATTGCATTTATTGGCTTTCCTTCCTGATCTTCATGCTATCTGCAAGGAAACTCTTGCAAACCCTGTATTTACAGGGAGGTTTTAAAATTGTCTGAGAAAATTACCATGTTTCAGGCATTCAACATCCCGCGTTATGAGTTGGGGCAGGGATACATGTCTCATTATGATGCATTCGATGCTGCTGAATATGGCCCTCGAAAGAGCCAAAGGGTATGTCTGAAGTAGAAGTTATAATTCTCATTTGAAAGGTGTTATATTGATCACAAGTTTGTTTGTTTTGATGTGGTCATGCTCAGCAACCAAACCAAACCAAACCAAATAGCATGGGGCTTGTAATATTCATCAGATGATCTGACATTTGCTCAAGGTTATTTGGCGGGGTTGTCCATTTCTTTTTACAGCAAGATCATCTTGTTACTATGAAGTCTTCTTTTTGAGATTCTAGTCAGATTCAAACATACGAAGTTATTTCTCCTATTGGATTTTTACTTCTAGAGTTAAGGGAAAAAACTAGTTGGAGAACTAACTTCAATTCCCTCCGTGGCACGTTAGAGTTTATATGATTTTCAGCTTGCCGATAGCAACCTTTTTGCTTTATTTAAGTGATGTTGAGGAAGGTGGGGAGACCGTGTTTCCGTTTGAGGTAAAGCTAGCTGGCTCGCTTTCGCATCACTTAACATACTTCCCGTTTCGGCTTGAATGAGTAGTCACTGGTCCGGTACTCTGCAGAATGGCCTGAACATGGACGTAAGCTACGGTTATAAGGACTGCATTGATTTGAAAGCAAGGCCACGACAAGAGGATGGACTTCTATTTTATTCTTTGTTACATAATGGTACGATCGACCCGGTTAGTATTGTTCTCCTAATCATCGTTGTTACCATTTCTCACTCTGCGAGTTTTAATCCATCTTTACATCACATCTTTAACTTTATTTATGCTTAATTATTAATTATTTTTTATTTCACGATGAGTACTCATCCTAAATCGATTATTTCTTTTTTATCAATAAATCGATTATTTATTAATACTGATAAAGTGGGAAACTCCAGAACCGGCAAAAGAAAGAAATCAAAGAAAAAGTGAACGGGAGGGGATTGGTAAATAAACAAAGTATGGAAATAGAGCAAGCAAGGAAGAAGCTTACTACTTGTTAATAACTATGCATTTTTGTACAAATTTATGTTAAAACGGTTAATGACAATGACTTTCGTTTATCATCATCAGATTCTTTTCTTATAAAACCTTGAGAAAATTTTGAGAAGTGATAAGTAGATAGTTGACCGTGCTCTTCAATAAGTGGCTTTAGCCTAAATCATTCCATATATAACCAAATTATGGATTTGTGCTTTGCATAGAACGACTGTACTCTATAAATTATCTATTTTTTCAGATAAATTTTAATTATTATATATGTAGATGTTCCTTTTGTTCCCTTATTTCATTAAATAGGCGTCTTATGCTTCGGTAGCCGCAAATTCTATCCCATATATTTTCAGATACAAACAGAAACGATTGAGTTTTGTAGATTCTTTTGTCACGTATAGTAAATTTAAAATATGTGAAATATTATCCTCATAAAAATATGTTTTCAAAATATGGAGGGAAAAAAGGTGAGAATATACATACTTATTCTTTATCTCATAATCCTCTATTTTCAGGAGCACTTAATATGAATCACATATAATTACCGAGCAATGCCCTTTTTTGTGCGTTCTTCATGATTTCTTGGCCTTTTCCCATGCATGTTTTTGCAGACACCACTCCATGGAAGCTGCCCAGTGATAAAAGGGGAGAAATGGGTGGCTGCAAAGTGGATAAGAGATCTAGAACAGGATGATAAAACCACGTCGCCTGCGATCGATGAATTTTGAGTCTTATCATTGTCGAGGTGGTAGTTTGGCGAGTTAACAGCTCTACAGGATAAAAGATAAAATGAAAATATAGGTTGCTAACATTGTATATCAAGGATCAAGCAGGTTATAACTTCTTGTTTTCTTTCGGCAAAAAAGGATAATTAATATGCATGACCTCCTAGTTCTAACCAATTTTAAATTTAGGCATGATAGTTTTTTTTAAATCAGATTCTTACATCACTTATTTTTGTTTAGGTTCTTGTAAATTTTTTTTATCGCGTCCTTATAATTTCACTTTATAGTTTTAGATAATTTTTAATCATGTCCCTGAGGGTTTATTATATAAATCCTAATAACATTTTCAATAATAATTTTATATTAATATTCTTTTAAGTTTTTGAATTACAAATATATTTATATTTATTTTATATTTATAATTCTTATTTTTATAATTATAAAATTTGAATTATGGTAATAAAATTTTCTAAAAACATGATATACTCTTTCAGTCTTTAATATATGACCCAATTGTTGAGTTGATTTTTTTTCTAAATATAATACCCATTTTTCATATTTATTAATTTTTTTTAAACTACCCCTATGATACTCCCTCAACCATAATCAAGTAGAAGAGGGAGAGTGGGTATTAAGAAAGATGATTATGGTGTTTTAGGAAAAATGTGTCATATTTCTTATAATTAACTAACTTATCTAACTTTCTTAATCTAATCAAATTAGTTAAATTGATCTTATATTAAAGATTGGAGGAGTAATTGATATTAATCTATAATTACTTATTCAAATTAATTAATGATTCTTTAATTATTTTCGTAATTATATAAATTCATTTAAATTTATTATTGATATTTTATATTTGCAAATTAAATATTAATATTTCAATCAATCTAAGTTAAATTAATAAATAAAATTAAAAATACACAGGAACCTCATTAAAAATCAGGTGAAACTATAAAGATCTAAATAAAAACAAGTAAAATTATAAAGACCTAATAAAAAAACTAGAAGGATCTAAATCTATAAAGAATTACTACCTTCTGTTCTTAATATAAGAACTTATTTAATTTTTAATTTAGTTTTAAATATAAAACCCTAATCTATTTTATCTCTCATATTTATTCATTTTTTTCTAAAATAGTTATTATAGTAGTTATACATGTTAAAATTTTAGTAGAATACTAGTCCTAACTAATACATATGATTAGTAAAGATATTTTAGAAAAGATAATACATATTTATTACAAATAACTAATTTAACCAATTTTTTTAATTTGTTTAAATTAATCAACCAATTCTTGTATTAAGTACAGGAGGCAGTGCAAGTTAATTATCCAAAAAGAAAATCATGAACTTTACATCTTCAGAGGCCTTTTGAAAATGACCGAGAATGTTGGGGTTAAAAAGACCATGAAATATTGTTTACCAAAAAAGGAAAAAAAAAAGACCATGAAATATTCTCCAACCACTTTCCTACGTTAACTCAATGTCAATAGAACACAAATAATGCCAACAGATTTCTTCTCCAAGCCAGGAAAAGCCTCCGCACCCTATCACTCGAGCATTCAATCAATGTTGTGCAATCATTAGCCAATTCCAAACTCAGACTAAATGGTTTCAAACAGATGTTGGTACTATGAAATTTAATTTGTCTACCACCAAAAAAAAAAAAATTAATTCAAGCAAGATCTTCAAATTGTTACTGTCTCTGTAGATGACGACAGAAGAATTAAGCCTGGTTTCAGCTCGCTAACATTGCAATAGTAACTTTAGTTAGTAGGCTATTTACTCCTTTGGTCCTTAATATAAAACCCATTTAACTAATTTAATTAGATTAAGGAAGTTAGGTAAGTTAGTTAATTATAAGAAAAGTGACACATTTTTCCTAAAACACCATAATCATCTTTCTTAATACCTCATCTCCCTCTTCTACTTGATTATGATTGAGAGAATATCCATAAGAGTAATTTAGAGAAAGTTAATAAATATGAGAAATGGGTCTTATATTTAGGACTAAAACTAACTCAAGAATTGGGTCCTATATTAAGGACCGGAGGAGTATAATATTAAGGGGGCAAGAGCACAATTAAAACCACCATGGTACTACCTAAATGGTGTTCCCGTCAAATGAACAACATGCTCGAACTTTGATGCTCGTATTAGTTTTCACCTCCCAATCTTTAGGTGCCACCCCAAAAGAACTTGCGAATCTGCACGTCATCCGCTCCAAACGCTTGTGTGGCCGGCCAGATCTACGGAAGCAAAACCAAAAGCATTCACACCAAAAGATGCCGGCTACCACATAACAGTACAAACATAAACCCGTTAGGCTGATCGTATAGCTGATATATTTAAAAAAGCGATCTTCATCTCATGGACAAGGAGTTTGAAGTGAGAATTAAAATGGGAGATGTCCTTGTTCAGCCTGTCTTTCGGTCCTTAGAGACGCCACTACAAAGTCAATCTCCTGCACTCGGTAATTGTTGGGCATGATATCTGCGTTCTGAAATTGATCTCACCGTGCATACTTTGGCATCATCTGAGGTCTACATCGTTCGTTACTTTCATCAACAAGAAAGACAGACATCCCACCTTCCCCAAACTCTCCCAAATCAGCAATATGCATTCACTGTTTATGCCAGTTATTATATGGTTGCTTCCCCCATTGCTTCAAGGCATGCATGCAACCAGCTGAAGTCAATAGTCCCAACACACCAAATGCCATCAATGCTGCATTCCCAACATTCCGATAGTAGCCACCCTGCAACAGTTACAAGGAAGTAACTATATTATGATATTAAATACATACAACAACCAGCTGGCAAACAAATACAACAGCAACAACAAAATCTTATCCCAGTAGGTAAAGTTAGTTACATGGATTGCAAACAAATATATAACTATTTTCACAATTTCATGCTAGGTGGTTAGGAAAAACGCAGCGGAGACAAGTACTTTACATCTGAAACATTAAATTTCAATAAAGCATACAACGCTGCTAGAATAAACATCAGGAATAAACTCAAGGGGATAGTGGCACCATTCAAGCACAGAAATCCAAGCCAAACACAACTGCCCGTAAGCAGAATTTTTCAACGCAGGGCTTATCATGGTACGCCTTTTAAGGAGTTCATTGGAACAGGACCTCTTTCCAATAGTTATTTCATAAGCCATCCTCAACAACGACCAGTATTCTGACTTCAAATGTCAAAGAGACACAGTTTACGTCCATCGTGGTGTCCATTTTTATGGTCAACTGGGGCTAAAAACTTAATTGGCTAACTATATATTTCCTACATTGCCATTATGTTCAAACACTCACTTCCACCAAAGAAAGCAGCATTGCCGCATTAGCTGGGGCAAGAGAAAGGCCCATCATCCCTCCACGCAGCTCATTAGGCACATACCTGCAATTAAAGTAACACAGTTATCAAAACTAACACAATCCAATGAATAACAGGCACCCAGAATTAAATGATTTTACATGGTCCTCAATCTGGCGAGTGATGGTAAAATGAGCCCAACACAAGCATGAAACAGGATAAACAGAGTCACCAGAACTCCAATTTCCTGCATAGGAAAAAATTTTAGAGTAGACTCTAGATTTCCACCTCTGCAGCCAGACAAGTGCACTGCATGCTTATAAAAATATGAAGTGACAGCACCTGATAATCATAGGCTATAATAGACAGGACAAGACCCAGTATGATGTATGCGTATACTAGCCAGTCCTCAGTTCTAATAGGTAAGTGTCCACTTGTGAGCCAAGGAAATACAGTGCTTCCTAGCATTCTTGAGCCCAGAAAGAATGGATAAATTAATCCTAGATGCACTTCTCGTCCATCAGCCTGAATACACAAGCACCACATAATGTATTCTAAACTTTGAACCATAAATGTAAAAGGTTGCATAACATGAAGCCTTCTCTTTCATACGACTGAATCCAGGAAAGAAGACAGATGTCTTTGCCACAAAAATGGCCTCAGGGAAAAAAAAAATACATTAATTTGTCCATGGACTTTTATTTCTAAGTCGATCAATACAAAGAAGCCGAAAGAAGAGAATTAAAAAAAAAAGAAAAAAAGATATCAACGGAATGCTCTAGAGATCATAACAAGTACATAGAAAATCCTCGCTGTGAAATTTAAATCATACCACCACTGTAGGGGCCCAGAGGATCCAAAAAATTCCAATGGAGAAGTAAAGGCAAGCCTGTGCCCACCCCAAAAGCCATATCCTTTTATCTGGAGATAATAGAATTTTCATCTCTCTGTTATTCTTGGTAAGCTTATCATTAAAACATTGAACAATATTAGCAGCTAATTCTCTAGTAGAACTTAATAGCACCTTTAAATGCTTAAATGTAAGAATCTTCTAAATCATGTCAATCCACAAAAAATCATTAGAACTGATGCACAAAAATAAGATCAAGGGCATAACTTAGAAAGCATGTGTATCTTACCACCTAATATATATGCATAGAAGGACACGCTATAATCCTTTAAAGACATTGCTTGTGGATTTTCTGCCCATCCTCTGGAAAGAAAAGTGATACATACTGTTGCTAGGAAGATGGCTGCAGTGGTAGGAGCAGTTTTCTTCTCAAAATTATCACCAACCAGCCAATTTGCAAACACTTGGCTGGCAATAAAACATGCAGACTCAGAAAAAGCCATTAACCAAAACGTGTCATTAAGCGAATCTAGCCTGTGCCCTTGCTGCTTAGGGGAAAAAAAGAAATTGACATTAGATTGTAGATATTCAAAGTCAGTTATCCTATATTCGGTGATAGGAAATGATACTAGCCAAATACACTAAAAGAAATAAGAATAAAAGGACTGGCCGATGTTATTAAAACTGAGGGGAATAAATAAGTCCCCATCTAGTGCAAGTGTCATAGATGTCTGGGCTGAAATCTATGTTTGCAAGGAATCAAGAGTATAGGAGAAAATTTATTCAATACCTTTTCATGCAAAGTGACCATCCAACTCTCAAAACTGAATGAAAATATTGCACTGGCAAGAGAGAGACAAATGCTAGTGACAAAAATGCTTGGATACTCAGAGACCCTCTTCCATATGCCAACAAATAAGTGTAGGATGCCAAAAAATAGGCATGCTTTCTTGTGACCTCTACACAATGAAAATAATAACTTAGTTGCAGCATGTCATGCAACAACATCACCTGAAAATTATTATTACAATAATTATAAAAAAATTATACATACATAGATATATATATATATATATTTCTTGAAGAGGCATAGTTTTGCATAACCACTTCACAAATTTCCAAGCTGCTAAACTGTCTAATCTAACATGGCAATATCATGCTTCATGTTTCAAATGACTCGGGAGGATGTCATGACTCAGCAAAAATATGAAATATTTAAAAGTAGAAGGGAAAAAAATCCATGGGATTAGGCAACACCAAATATATAATTAAAATTATCGGTCATAAAAGTTTGGCATTGTGCAGTTTTAGACCCGTTAAAAGAATGCTTGTCAAAGTTAAACAGTTTTTTCCCTTTCTGACATCATTGCAATGGAGGTTGACTTAAAATCAACCAAAAATACTTCACCAATGATCATTCAAAGTGTTAGTGATTCTTCCATATCGAACATTATGGAATTTCCGCTATGAATGATACACATTATTATTTGTTTAAAGAAAATCATAAATACATATAATAATTAATACAAAAAATTCCAATAATACTTGTCACTTAAACATCAGACTTACTGAAATTGACAACTCAGTATAAGTTGGACCTTTAAGAAATTAGAAATTAGAGATAACGTATAAACATCGTAGCAATAATAGCAGGCAAATCATAGGCTTACATTAAGTCTGAAATCACACCAAGAAAGGGACTAGCAATGAGAGACGCCCCAAATCTATAACAGAGAGACATAACCATCTGCTCCCTGCCAACTCCGTAAGAAGCTAACTCGAACTCACCGAAAGCTAACCACAGGCCTTCCATCACTGACAAGATGAAAGTAAGAAAAATGCAATTAGCACTCACGTTACAGATCTAAAGCTTAATTCACTAAGAAATGCAGTTTAAAGTTAAAGAATTTCGAAAATTGGTTGCGAAAAGCGGAGACTAAATTGAAGAGAAAAATAATGTCCCTTTTGGTTTAGTTCTGATGCCATCAACTAAATAAAGCATGAATTTCAAGTTCAAAAGTTGCTTCTCCTTTTTCTACAAGCGCATTTCTTGAAATCCAAACACTGCTATAGTAAAAGCATTTCACCTGAAGATAGAGAATAGAGAAGAATGAATTTCCGCTGAAAGCGAACAAACGAGGAAGAGATTCCATGGTCGAATACTGTAGATGTTCTGTTAGAATTAGTGAAATGAGGAAAAAGAAAGATCGAGAAACAGCAAGAGAAGAAGAGGAAGATGTATATGGATGGATTTGGCTCCCAAACCGAGCTCTCAATGGTTATCGCCATCGGCCAATTATATTGGAATTAATACAGAGACATTATGTAAGAATAAGCGTCCTGTTTGGGTCTGAGATAAACCCTAGATCGAAGAGATGAAGCAAATATACGGAAGGGAGAGAGGAGAACTGAGACTCCGAGACCGAACGAGATCGGGGACGATATGATATGATCGGCGCGAAACGGACCGGTTCCGTTGTTAACACTGCAAATTTAGCGGCTTCGATACAGGCGTAGCTAAAAACGAAGAACGAAACGGTGTCGTTGCCTCCGGTGAAATGAAAGCTAGATTTGGACCCGAAATGCGAGAGTCTCCCGATTTTGTGTGATTCCCCATTCTTCCATAGCAAACAAATCAACTTCAATTTGTACTTGTCCCCAAAAAAAAAAAAAAAGGTAAACAAAATTATTTTTAATTCATGATTTAGATTACAAATGGTTAGACAAAAGGAATTGAAGTTATTTCTAAAATTGTCATTGGAGCCTAATTTAAGTGGTAAGTATGAGATGAGATAGAGGTTAATTTGAGTCTTTCAATTTGCAATTTCGTTAATATATCTTAGTTTTAATTTTTAGTTGTTAATCTAATACTCTTCCAATCTTTAATATAACCCATTTAACTAATTTGATTAGATTAAAGAAGTTAGGTAAGTTAGTTAATTATAAGAAATGTGACATTTTTTTTTAAAACACCATAATTATTTTTCTTAATACCTCATCTCCCTCCTCTACTTAATTATGGTTGAGGGAGTATTCATAGGGGTAGTTTAGAGAAAATTGATAAATATAAGAAGTGGGTCTTATATTTAAGATCAAAATCAACTTAACAATTGGGTCTTATATTAAGGATGGGAGGAGTAGTTCAGATTAATCATTTTTATAGATATACAATTAAATTGAAATAGAAAGAAATAAATATTGTATCCTCATTTAGTAAAAAAAAAGTAACAATTCAAATATACAATGTTGATAAGTATTAATAAAACATTATTCTACATAATTATTAAGAAATTTCATAATAAGTAAATAAAGTAAATGACAATAAATTACCAAAATCTTAATAATTTTTCCAAAATATGTAATCCAAAAAAAATAGATAAATATTGCATCCTCAACAAAATCACACAATAACAAAGTAAATGAATCTAATATTTGTAAACCGAAATTGATACCAATCATTATAGCAAAAGAAAATGATACAAATCAAACAAATTGCAAACTGGGAGATGTAAATTGAGTATCAAACGATCGATAAAGGTTACGGTTTAGATCTTTAACAAAAACAAAAAATTAAAATCAAACTACAAATTTTAGAAAGAATCCCGTAAAAATAAATTTAAAATTATTAAATCTCAAATAAAAATTTTATGCAAAAATATATTATTATATGCCAATTCAGTATTGTCAAAACGTATTAAAGTGTTATTCTCAAATTCAATTTAGAATTTAGTAATTTTAAGTTTTCTTATATTCTCCCAGAATTTTATCAAAGTAAATAAAGAAACTGACAAATTTATAATAAAAATGTTTATTTATTTAGAAAAATGACATAAAAAAAAAAGAAATTAGAAATTGTCATATTTCAATTCAGTCACTTAGATTTCAAAACCTCATGAGAAGAAATATACAACAAATAACAAATATATTATTATTTATTAATAAGTTGTGAACTGAAAATGATAAGAAATAGACTAATAATAATAAGTTTAATAGTTTTTTTTAAAAAATCTGATATAAAGATATTTAATTATTTAATTATATTTATACAATAGCAGATTAGGTATCACTCTCTTCTTTAGGATTTTAATAGGTGCAAGTAGAATATTGTAATTTCTAAATTCTTTTTATATCATTTTTCCTGTTTATTTAAAGTCCGAAAAAATATTTCCAGTGAAAAAATGGATCCGAAGAATCATTAGGGTTGCGCCATTAGCCATACATCCGAACTCGCTTGCTCCTTCAGCTTCTCCTTCCGGACTCAATACCCTTTCCTATCGTTGATCTTGACTCATTAGGGTTTTCAAGGTCTGATCCTTTGCTTCAAGACATGGGAGGGGGCAACGGGCAAAAGGCAAAGATGGCTCGTGAGAAGAACATGGAGAAGATGAAGGCTTCGAAAGGTGATCTTTCATTTCCCTCCCTCGAACTCGATAATTTTCAATCATGTTCTCTTTGGTTGCTGAGAATTTCTGCAACAAGATTAGAAGCCGAATCAAAATTTAAATTTAATTAGCGAACTAAATGGATAGTTTATTTCGGCCCCTTTTGTTCGAAATTATGCGAAATCCCCTATTTCTGTATTATGAAATTGAAATTGGAATGTGACTACAAGAAAAAGATCTTATGGTTTTACTTCTTAATTTTAATAATCTGATTCTCACGCGTAGGAAGCCAGCTGGAGACAAACAAGAAAGCGATGACGATCCAGGTAATTTGGTGTTTATAATTTACATCCTAAGACGAAAACTCATAAATCTTAGAACTTCGTGTTCTTTGATTTCATTTTTCTCCTTGTAAACCGAACTACATATATGGATTCTTGTACTCTGAACAATGATGAACTTGGATTGTTAATATTGTCGTGGCTGGTATGGGAAATTGAAACCCTATTTCCTGCTTATCGTGCTTGTCCGACGTGACTGAAACAGCCTAATGCTTGAATTCAATGTGTATCTTAAAATTGCTATGCTGTATAAGCGTTTTATATGTCTGCAATGTTCATTCTGTAGTTACATGCCTAAAATGCCGAAGTGTTTATTGAGTAGTTGATTCTTTTTTTTTTTTTGGCTGAAATTATGAGTTTAGAGGGGATCTTGTTTGCCTTATTATTCATTCCAATTACTTTATCCTGTCTCAAATGATTTTCTCAAGCAATCCATTTTCCCGGCTCTTTCTTTTGAGTTTAGAGGGAGTAATATAATGGTACTTGTAATTTTAACCCTCCAAACAAGGGATGGAAATTCTAATGTATTTCTGTTTACTCTTATGAGAGTGTGAAAGGAAATGGGAGGGAAACAACACTAGTGACACAGAAACACAGCAGTGCAGAATGGCACGGTTGAATCAATAAACGCATTTTATAAGACATTTCTTCAGATTATTGCTGGAAATTTAGAATCTTTTTTGCATATTGAACATTTGATCACAGTTTAACAATTGTGATTGATAATTGCAGTGCAAGGTGTGTATGCAAACATTTATGTGCACCACATCAGAGGTGAAGTGCAGGGAGCATGCTGAGGCTAAGCACCCTAAATCTGACCTCTATGCTTGTTTTCCCCATCTTAAGAAGTGAACTATTCTGGGGAGAGTTTGTGGAGACCTGTTGATATCCCTGTGGCCTTTTCCGCAATCTACATAAGTATATTTCTTGAGTTCTGTTTGTGTTATATTAATTTGTCTTCTGTGTAGGTGCATATTGCGGGGACTATGGAGGCCTTTCGTCCCCTTGATAAAGTGAAAGAAACCTTGAAATACTGCTTAATGATACTGGTGTTCCTTGGAAAACATGCATTCTGATTTATCCCATGTCTGAATCAGAAACGGCTATTTTGGCCTCGTATTTTTATTCTCTGTGTGCACCGATGTTACACAAATCATGCAAAAAAAATTGAAGAGCATAAAATAAGTGATAATATGGAAGTAAACTAATAATGATGCTCCCCTCGATATGAATGATCCTATTTTGACACCAGTCGATCTTCGCTTGCTTCAGACGCTAGCTATTTTCGAAAGTTGTCGACAATTCATTCGGAATAACAACACAACTAAAGCCTATAGACTGCAAAACTACTAATTAAGTAAAATTCTAATGTCTGCCAGAACACTCTAGCCTATTTGGAGTAACTTGTTCCCCTCAATCACCCGTCCGAGAATTCCTATCTTGTCCTAAACAACTGATAGAATAAGGCAATGGCAAAAGGGATATCACTCTGATTGGTTATGGACAAATGTGTGAATGTATTATGTCTACGGCATCCACAGAAAATGAGACATCCAAAGGAATTATGTTTATAAGAAACAACCTTACCGACAATCAAGTGGAGTCACGCTACTTCGACATCTTCACGCTTAACGGTAAAATAGGGTATGAAGAGCTTTTTGGTTCAAGGGAGTGATTTGCATCTCCTCACTAAACAGATATATGTGCGGGTTCCTTTAAATTGTCTGAAAATGAAAGGTAAGATGGTGGAAAATCGTATTCAATTGTAGCTTATATGTAGGATATGCAAACCAAAACATCAATGTACATGAAATTACAACCCCATATGTCTAAACTCAGTCTCCGGTCATGAGTCCACATATGAACCCCGGTTATTGATTCAAATATGACCAAGTTATCAATGGAAACGGGTTTAGAGACTAGTTCTTCACAAGTTACAACATAATGAACTAAAGGTTAGATTATCACCGGAGAGGTGTTTATATTTAGTACTTAATAATATTTTTAATAAGATTGTCTCTAACAAGAAGATATTAAAAAAAAAAAAACCAAGTTGTTGGCCCATAAAAAATGATCGAGTTATTGTGTTCTCAATTCTGCGGCTCTTACCTGAGAGAAACGGGTGCGCCTACAGGACGTGCACGGATATGACAGCAAATTGTTAGCAAAGCTAAACTTGGAGAGAAAAAATAGCAAAACAAAATTACGAAAAAAAAGTTAAAATTTTAAAACTGTTGAGTGGATTAAAGTGCTTTCTTTTTTTTGGGGGGGGGGGGTGGGTGGGGTTAAAAGATGAGCTTCATGACTACGATTGCTTCTCTTCATGCACCAACATAAGGAAACTGTGACAACATGCCGAAAGAGACTAGAAACATGTCAAGAGCAGCAGAATTGAGAACATAAGATACAATTTGTGAAACATGTTAAGTTTTAAATATTTGTTTATTTAATTTATTTATATATTTTCTTCTAAATTTAAGTACCAAGATACAAAGCAATTTTTCTACAAAATCTGCTCATATTTATTCTATTTAGGAGAAGATGTAGAGTAAAAGAAGATGAGGAATAGATATGATGAGATGGGATCTTAACTGTAATTTGCTCCACAACTTTAACTGATGAAATTGGGTTTCAGTTGTAATTTTCTCCAAAAATGAAAATGGAGATGGTTGAAGTTGTTCTTGACCTGAACAACTTTCATTTTTTCACTTAAAAAAAAAAAGCAGAGTGAAAGTTCATATCGGCATGAACAACTTTTAAAAAATATAGCATATAGGTAAATAGTTTTCATAGTGTAGTATTTAGGTAATTATTTTTACTGCTTACAGTATTTTGGAAAATTGCCTCTTGTGGCAATTGCTGTCTTGCTGACCAGAGCTTAGAGTGCTGAATTTGGCTGGGCTTCAAGTGTCCAGATTCCAGAGAGAGGAACATATACAGGGGGAAAAAACTTGTGGGTGGGGAGAGAACAGATGCAAGCGAGGGCAAAACTTGAAGATCATAGGTGAAATAAAAAACAGCTACTACGTTCACAAGTTAATCAATGCGAAACAACAATTAAAAAAATCCAGGTCTAGAGACAACTTAAAATCTCTCCAGATCTAATTCTTGAGATATATATATTAAAAAATAAATATGAACGAATGTGTCTTTTTGGTTACGTTTGGTATAAAGCATTAAAAATGAAGTATAGAGACAAGAATCAGAATTAAAAAAAATTATTAAAAAACAGTTTAGCACAAGAGATTACTGGTTACATGGGATTAGACAAACTCATATATGTGGGATTGGGGAATATCATAGAGAAAATCTCATCTTAATGAGTTTGCCTAATCTCGTATAACAAACAATTATTAATGTTAAATATTTTTTAGTGATTTTTTTCAATTACAATTTTAATCCCTATCTTTTATTTGCAATTCTTTGCATCAAATGGGACCTTTATTCTTTCTCAAAATTCTACTGGCAATTAATAAGACCTTATCTGTTTCAAAAAAGTAAAACACTAGATAGAAAACCCCATGTGCCACGGGGACAAACAGTTTCCCTGGTGTCCCTTCTTCTTTTGATTTCCCGTTCTCCACATAATTTCATCCTGGAACAATAAGTACCCTAACTTTGGAGCAAGGCAGTGTTGGTCATACGGTCCAAGAGAAGAGGACAATCACATGGATTTAAGAGCCACCACATCACATGTCTGTGGATATTATTTTCCACAGAACTGGGCCTTCGATCTATTGCAGCTTTGACATTTCAATACTCCTCAAGTACCTGCCTATATATTAGCCTAACATGCTTGTGTCCTCCCACTTCTTTCCCCCTAGCTTCACGACGACCTCTGATTTAAAAGGAATCCAATTCTTTTAGCTTGGATAAATAGCTGCGTATTATGATTACTAAAGATTGAGTTATATGATGTTTAATTACATTATTGAGGCTAATCATCCGTCTAATTTGGGTGAATTTCCTTTTGGAATCTCTTTTGGGTGTGTTTGGATGAAACCAAACCGTGGTTTGGAAAAGTGATTCTGGAGAATAGATTCTGGGAAGAATAGATTCTAGAAAGAATAGATTTTATGAAAAAGTGATTTTGAGAAGTAAGAGTGTTTGGATAGTTGTTATCAGAAGCACTTTTTATATATACAAAGTACTAAAAAAAGACATAAGTTAATATGATAATTACAGAAAAAATAGATTTTATAATATATTTTAATTTGAAGGAATAAAATTGTTAATAATATATTTTTTATTAACATAATTAATAATACATAAGATATATAATTAATAAATAATTAATATGTGTATATATATTATAAAATATAAGATTAAATATATTTATAAAAAAAATAACAAGATACATAGCTCTCACACTCTCCCTTTTTTCTCCAAAAACAAAATTTTTTTGTTTTTTTCCAAAACCATGGTTTTGGTTTTTGAATGGGTGTTTTGGTGATTTATTCCTCAAACTATGATTTGGGGTGTCACCCAAACACAGCCTTTGTCATTCTCTGCCTATTGGATTAGACGTATATGTTGGAGTTTTTCAATTATTGATTCAAGACGACACTATGTATCGTCCCTCACTTTCATAGCCAGCGTTGAAACCGAGAAAAAGGTTACTGTTGTTAAATGTTAATTCCGTCTAAGAATTTAGCAGGTGTTTAAGAAATACAAAATGCACTTTAAAAAAAAAAAGTACTTTCATGCAAACTAAGACCAAAAAAAATTTAATATACTTATCTCATATATCGAAAAATCACTTTTAAAGAGCTAATCGAAACATCACATTATTTGAATGCTTCACTGGGGCCTAGCTTTATTTAGAAGTCAAGTAAGATAGAAGTGTGGCGGTATCGATCTCAGAACAGAAATATGAATGTATACATAAGCATATTGTGGGTGAATAATCTTCACTCACTAGGGGACCCTTAACAACGAAATTTAATTTGTAAAGGGACGATACGAGACGGTGTGGTTGATGTGTACAAGAGGAAGCAATATTGAGTTCATATTGGGACACACCGATAACTGTGGGATCATCATTCATCACACAGACCAACCCTTACACATACAATTCTACATTGTAATTTATAAAATGAAAGCACCCACTCATTAGCTATTTAAAACTATTTTAATTGGAAAGGGAGTATATAATTAATTAGACCATGAAGGAAGAATACTGATTCTTTACATATAAATTTCAATTAATAAAAAATACATTTTAAACCTTTTAACAAAACATTTTTTTTAATGATTTTAATATTATAACTGAAGTGTGAATTTTAAAAATAGAATGAATGTTTATGTTATCTTATTCATATTCTATCAATAATATTAACAGGGTTCTTTTTATATATTTTATGTGATGTGTATGTGTAATTACGTGTACATGTATAAATTAAATGGGAACCCATATAATGATATTATTAGCATATATTAGTCTGGTACTATGGTGTTATCCAAAAAAAAAAAGTTTGTACTATGGACTATATGAAGTTGAGGATAACTTCTAGTATTTATGAACATATTTTTTTTTATATTTTTATTTTTTTTCATATTAAATATTGATTGATGGATGAACGTGGCAGAATTTTCATGCATGGCCCTGGTTGGATTTTATTGCTTCGTTCTAATAGTTGTTTCCCTTACCGATAACATGAAGACTTTTGAATACTCACATCCGCGTTAATAGGCTCCATACATTAATTAAAAGAGTAAAAGGGTAGAGAGATGTTATTTTTACTCTTATGTTATTTATATATTTAGTATATTAATATTATTTTTTTAATTACATTCAGCACCGTGATGTTAATATTTTATTTATATTTAGCATACTCACTTTTAGAGTGCTAAATGCACTATAAATAATATTAGGATACTGGATTAAAAAAATCATGCACCGTAAATAAAATCAGCCATTAGATGGACTTTTATCCTAATTAAAAATAAAGATATGATATAAAATTAATAACCAAGTTATATATTTGTCAAAACTGTAAAATGAAATTTTAATATCTTAAATGATAATCACTAAATTAAAAATCAAGTGAAGTTGAATGATACCAACAGCGTAATTTAACTTCAAAATTTCATACAACTTTAAATTATTTGCATTGTTTTATTTTACCTAAATTGGTTGTTGGCTGGCGCATTTATTAGAATTCTAGTATAAGACATAATATGATTGTTTGTGATTTGCATACACCTGCATCTTTTATATTTTACGTTGATATTAATTGGACTTGCCCCATAATGAAATCATTTCGGTCTAAACTTCAATGATCTAAATCGTTATATTTATTACATAATTTTTAATTGAGAGAAAGATACAAAATAAATAAAAGTAAATAACAAATGGTAAGTAAATTTCGCATATATATTGTCAAGTAATTCCTAATTAAAAGAGTGAAAGATATTTCCTAAATTGTTGCCTTATCTAAAAGCAGAGTTTGGGACACCATAATACAATTATGAAGAGGCTTCCTTTTTTTGGACTGAACTAACGAAGAGCTCAAAGAAAAGGAAAAAGGAGAGAGCTTTTAGCTTTGTGGACGGGAAAGTTTGGAGTTCCCACGTGGAAACAGACTCAGCTAGAAGCCAATCAACATTTCAGCCATCTCATCCTTTCCCCTCCAACTCTCTAATCTCATCCCTGTAATCTCTCACAACCCCCACACACCACACAGGCACACACTCCTTCCTCACTCTTCCATTTTTACCCCTCCCCTCCTTCCTCTAATTTCCAAATTACCCCTCCGACATCCCTTCCTTCTCACGCGCTGCATTTCAGACCCTATTTTGGTAATTCACAACCAGTCATGATAATTTATTTTCATTAACGTTGCTTCGAAATTGACTTGAGCTTCGGGCTCCATCATTCGTTATTCCCCATTATTCCTTCAGTTCTGCGTTTCAGTTTGAACACTTGCACAGTGCCCATTTTCTCTGTATATATATTGTGAGGGAAATTTAAATACCAAAAGATGACCTTGAGCTTTTCTGACTCGAACCTTTTCTCTCGCTTTTCTGTTTCACCACCAAACCGTACTGTAGAGAGACTGTGGTGAGCAGGGAAGAATCTATCTCTGCCATGGTGGATCGTGATCAAGAGAAAACTACAACTGATACTGTTGAAGCGTCTCTGAAAAGAAAACAGCTTCTTTCTACCGCCATGAAGAGAACAAGTGACTGGTATGTTTCTGAATCCTCAGTCTTCTTCAAAATTTCTCCTTCAACGTACATTCTCGTTGTTAACTGTTCTTGATATAACGAGAATTTCTGAGACTCGTATCTCGAACTTGTTAAAGGATTTTCTCCCAGGAGATTCCTAGTGATGTTACCATTGAAGTTGGAACGGCTTCTTTTCAATTGCATAAGGTACAAACCAATATTATTAATATTAATTGTTAGCTCTTGTAACTCTGAGGATCAATAAAACTGAATTAGTTTATACATCCTGTGCTGTAATTGCAGTTTCCATTAGTGTCAAAGTGTGGATACATTAGGAAACTGGTATCAGAATCTAGTGAAGCTGATGTTTCCCTCGTCGAACTCCATGACGTTCCTGGTGGATCAGAAGCATTTGAGCTGGCAGCTAAATTCTGCTATGGGATAAACTTTGAAATAAGCATAGATAATATTGCGATGCTTCGCTGCGTAGCAGAGTATCTGGAGATGACGGAGGATTATTCAGTTGGAAACTTAGTGGCAAGAACAGATGCTTATTTGAATGAAGTGGCCCTTAAGAGCCTTGCAGGAGCTGTATCTATCTTACACTTGTCAGAGAGCCTCCTTCCTATAGCAGAGAAAGCGAAGTTGGTAAGCAGATGTATAGATGCCATAGCATATATAGCCTGCAAGGAAAGCCAGTTTTGTGCTACAAGAGCTGATGGTGGAACTGAGGGAGTAGTTTCTTCCCTCGGGTCTCACCAGAGGCCCATAGTTGACTGGTGGGCTGAGGATCTTACAGTACTCAGAATTGATATTTTCCAAAGAGTTCTGATCGCCATGATGGCAAGAGGGTTTAAGCAGTATGCTATTGGTCCTATTTTAATGCTCTATGCTCAGAAGTCCCTACGAGGTTTGGTGAGATCCCTCACTAAATTGTTCAAAATGTTCCAATTCAGCATGATGATAGAGGAAAACCCTGCTTTTGTCTCTTAAGTATATTTAATTCCTATCTTCACCAATGTTTCTTTTAATTTAATCACTCAATCATTAAAATCTAGCTAGGACTTTAAGACCATCGCCTTGTATTGGTGACTTTGAGTTAGTAATATGTTGAGTTGAAAGCAATGTTAACAATGATCGAAGGATTAGATTGAAATATATGATCTATGAGAGAAGAAATTGAAAGTAGACCTATCTATCAAGGATCGAATCATGGTTTTCCTGAGGATGAAATGATGGTCTGAATCCTGAGCTTTTTTTTGTCCTCTTCATTTTTTTGGGTACAGGAAATATTTGGGAAGGGAAGGAAGAAGATTGAGCCAAGACAAGAGCACGAGAAGAGAGTTGTTTTGGAGACAATAGTGAGTCTTTTGCCAAAGGAGAAGAATGCAATGTCAGTGAGCTTTCTTTCTATGCTGCTCAGAGCAGCAATATATCTTGAAACGACTGTTGCTTGCAGGCTTGACTTGGAGAAGAGGATGTCTGTGCAGTTAGGACAAGCTGTTTTAGATGATCTTCTTATCCCTTCTTATTCATTTACCGGGGACACGTTGTTCGATGTGGATACTGTGCAGAGAATCATGATGAATTACCTTGAATCCGAGACGATGAGCCACTCCGTCTTCAGTGCAGATAATGAGTATTTTTCTCCTCCGCAGACTGATATGGAACGGGTTGGGAAATTAATGGAAAACTATCTCGCAGAAATAGCCACTGACCGTAATCTACCTGTTCCAAAGTTCATCACTCTTGCAGAACTAATCCCTGAAAAATCAAGGCCAACAGAAGATGGCATGTATAGAGCCATAGACATCTATCTAAAGGTGAAGTTTCTAATCACTATTCACATTTTCTATCAGATAATTCTTCGTTTCCCTCCTTTGGATATGCTTAGGACAAAACTTGCCGAAGTCAGGAATCTGGTGTTGATTCTGTTTTAATTGGAGAATTTAATGGCTAACATCTATAGAATTGCAATCAAGTTTTTGTGATTTAAAGGAGGACTTTTTTTTTTCCCCACAAACAAATCTACCTGTCTCTTGGGGAAAATTCTTTCAGCTCATTGAATTGACATTTAGATTTCATTATGCACAAATGAAAAGAATATTGTTTTTAGATTCAAGATTTTGATTCTAACATGATTTCTAATCTGCGGTTTTATTAAAAGTCAGTCTGTTATGAATAGCTGTTGACAAAGTTAGCATTTGAAAATGGCAATTCTTATAGGCTCATCCTGACCTAAGTGACATGGAAAAGAAGAAAGTTTGCAGTGTGATGGACTGTCAAAAGTTATCAAGAGAGGCATGTGCTCATGCTGCACAAAATGATCGGCTTCCTGTCCAAACTGTAGTTCAAGTGCTCTACTATGAACAGCAACGTCTTCGCGACGCCATGAATGGCGGTGAAGGTGAGGAATCAGCTCCTTCAGTACCCTCCAAGCTGAATGTGTACTCAGCCGATCTCCACCCAGTTTCGAATGAGCTATCCAGCTTAAGAAGAGAGAACGAGGACCTAAAATTAGAGCTAGTGAAGCTCAAAATGAGACTAAAAGAGATTGAGAAGTCTGCAACAATGAAATCATCAGCAGCTAGCAGTCCTGTGATCGGTGCTTCACCTTCTTCTGCTGATAAGCCTCCTTTGCCTCGGAAATCATTCATAAATTCAGTGTCCAAAAAGCTGGGAAGGCTTTCTCCTTTTCTACGTTCTGATGGTGTCACACCCTCGGCTAAAGGTCGTACAAAACCAAATAAAAATCGACGCCACTCAATATCTTAATATCTTCACTGGCTTTACTCTGTTCCTCTGTTCTTTCCTGGTTTCATTTTATTGTTGTGATGGTTGTGTATATTATCTTATCATGAACGTTTTATCAAGACCCACATTGTTTTTGGGGAGAAAAAAAAGATAGTGTAAAATATAGTAGTTTTTGGGTGATTATAGTGATGGTCCGTGACAAGATTGTGTTAATAAAGCGACACTAGACGCTGCAAAATATTGAGAGTAGCATATTGGATTACAGAAGTTCAGTGGGGTGTATCCATAACTTTGTTCTTACGGGTAAAAAGAAAGCTAAGAATAATTCAATTGACAACCTAGCAGTGTCTTTTGAAGTGCGAGCCTAATAATCAAATCAGCAAGGAAATCATGATTTCACCACAATTCAACAATGTTCTAAAAAGGCAAAAGCACTAATGGTGTAAAGTAACAAACACAATATGAAAAAAACCTTGCTTGGACTTGTCGAAAGTTGTTAGGAATTTGGAAGGGAATTTACTGTTCGAGAAGCAATCTCCACATTCTAGTTGACTAGTTTGTGATTGTGAGGTATGAGGGGACAGTTGTGGGGTGGGGGTGGTTTATGTGGCCAATTGTCCTGTGGGTTCAGCTGGGCAAAATAAGCATATTAATGCGGCCAGTTTAAAGCGTATAAAAACATTACATTTAAAAGGAAATATTGAAATATTCGGTTCATCTGATGGAAGGTTGCAGCCAGACTCCGTTTTCTTGTTATCTAGTCTGTGAATTTGTGAATGGCAGGTGGAAAGTGAAATCAGAAGGGAGAACTGGAAAACAACTTATCTACATAATTTGATATATCCTCTTCCATAATTACATCTCTAGTCTTCCAGACGAAGGGCGCAAAACTATTGCCAGGGCGTTCAGAAGCTTAGAGACATGACTGATCGCCATAATCAACAAAATGATATTTTCATGGCTTTAGCTGATAATGATGTTGAGTGCAACTGGAAGGTCACCGGGGAAACAGGTTATATTCGACTTCATCAAAATCCACCACACTTGACGACTAGGCAGAATATTCCAGATGAAAAACATCATCCACAAAGTTAGCCATAAACAGCGATTTAACTATGTATCTAATTGAGTCATGTTCAGACTCAACACTTGAAAGAGCCAAGGTGGCTGTTTTAGCCTCTCCTGTCTTGATCGTTCTTCAATATCAACAAAACTGTTTCTCATTCCACTTGAATCTTCTCTCGCTGTCTTGTTTATATGGCTGGATCCAGTGGAAGAAGAAGACAAGCTATATCCAGAATCTGAAGTTAGTGGTGTATCAACTTTCTTTGCACGGTCGCAGTAACTTGACGGGCCTAGTGTCAGCTCAATCTCAGATTCATCCATGATCTCTACCTCATCACCATCTGATTCTGCAATGTGTTCCTCCGCTGGCCGTTCAAGATCAAATTTGATTTCTGGCTTTTTCTGTGCATCTTTTCGATGATTAGTGGTTTGAGTTAAACTAATCGCATTCTTCAAGTTCCATTCTCGTTGGGTCACATCAACAGCTCTTCCATTTTTCATATTCTTCATCAGCATCTTCTGGATCCGGTACAACCGATGGAGCTCATGTAACTGTAATATAAAATGAACATCTCGGGTTACTCAATCTCTGAATGACCAATAACCCAAAGGGCAAAATTTAGAAAGAGAAGTACCTGCTCTCTGAAAGTCTCTTCATGTTTTAAAATGGCCATCCTCATGAACTCCTTGTCGCTTGGCTTGATAAGCTTCTCCATGAGTGCTCTGTTTAGCTTGAATAATAGGCAGTCAATTCTATCTTTCTTGGGAATTTGTGTTCAGATCTGCATCTTCATTGCATGTTGTTTCTGATACTCCACCTTCTTGTCACGCTTCTGAAATGAAGGAAATTTTTAACTGAGAATGACCTTGATAAATGAAAAGATGCTTGTCAAGAAAAGAGGATGAAGAAAGAAAAGCACTGCTATGATGTTCTTGAAACGCTGACATAAAATGATGACATCAACTTCTTTTAGTATAATTTGTCTGTTCTCATGCTTGCTTTCCTTCCAAAATTTTGGACCACAATAGAATGGACAGCTAAAAAAAATATCTCCGGACATGTTTTATGTGTTGATCAGCTACTCTACCATGTTTATGAATTCCTTCTCATATACTCATGAAATCTGATGTCATTAATCATATTATTTTTTCAGTTGCACGCGGTCAAATATATATTCAAGGAAAGAGTTTCACTTCTTTTCATATGCTCACATTATTAAATACCTGAAGCGGGATGGTTGGAATTAAAGGCAGATAGAAAGTTATTGATTTTTTCCCCCCAACCCTTCAACTTTCTTTCTCCCCCATCCATAATCATGGACCATCTACCCGAAGTAATTTGCAGTCTCTGTTCACGATGAATATTTTCCCTTTCAAGAATCAGGTGCTGTTACCCTGCCAGTTTTCAAGAAATGAATGAAGTAAACTAGGTGAAGCCCTTGTTCTACAGTTTTTTCACTTTTCTTTTCATTCCCCCCCCCCTTCGGGTGATGGTTGAACAGCTGACTTTCACCTCAAAATTTCTTTTCCTCCGTACACCTATTCTGTGCCCATTCTAAAATGAAAGTTTTCTTACACTAGGTTGCATCCTCAAGAAGAATACAAATAAAGTAGAAATTCTATTGTAAACATGAATATTAGAGTCTGTTGTAGGGGAAAACTACAGAGCCAAAGGATTCCCAGAAAAGGATGAGATAAAGTTTAGACACTGACCTGTGAGGATTGAATGTGATTTGTGTGGTGAGAAAGAAGACAACAAAACAAAAGGGATCTATTTCAAGCCAAGGCAAGAAGTTCCTCCTTTCCCTCCAACTTTAGCGACAACTCTTTCGAGAACTCTGCTCTCACATTCCCCATCAGGCTCTTCAGTGGGCAGTATATACTGCCGGACATTGAACATATAGTACAACACAACTGTTGAAGAATTTCAGATTCTCCCTCAAAAATTACTCACAGAAACCAAAGCGCTGTGCTAATGCATGGGGTTTGAGGCATGCCAAACAAATCTCAGTGCCTTGACCAATGCGATTCTAGTTTTGTGGAACAGATGCTTGAGACAGGTCCAGCAATGAAGATATAATAAATTAATCACAATAAACAAATATATATGATTAGTATAATAGTGTTCGCATTTATGAAATTGTTGAGGATCACAAGGTCTTGGTTTGCTCAAGACAAATCATCAAAAGAACAGCTTAGCCTGTTGAGGTGAATCACATGCACCTACCATTTCTTTTGTGACAAAACCAGTTGTCTCAATTAAAAATTGCACACTATGTCGCAATGTAATTGAAGCGTGCCTATATTGAAGGAGCTCAAGGTGGCATCTTCGCTGCCGCTGACAGACGGATCTTGACCGTACGATCAGTGGGTACCTCACGTTAACTGTCCATTGTACAAAACCAATAAGTACTCCCTGTTCACAAGAGACCAAGCTCAAGGATTGATTCTTTATCATTATTATTCTATTGATTCAATTACAACGGGAAACGGCAAGAAGGAACTAACAATTATAGATGTTTTGTACCTGCACGAGATATTACGAAATGTTCTTTTGTGGGTTTTTTTTAGCACCACACACAACGAAGACATAGTGCAATGATTATAGCCGTTAAGCGGCCATGTTTGGTAAGTTATGTGAGAAATGAAAATCAATCCATGTTGCCTATGAGACGGGACCACCGAAAACAAGAAGAAAAGGCACATGGTGAGTGTCACTTGTGTATTGTTACAAACAGCTTATGTGCATACAAGTAAATGACAAAAACGCATAAGCTGCTGAGGAGAAAGAGATTTCTGCACTTGCAGCGGTTTAGATGGGCATGGAAAGATGCATTTCAGCTGTATAATAATGCAGATGGAAAACATCAGCTGCTTAACTGGATATCTAATACAAAAGAGATGAGTTTGAGGTCTGAAATTCTCTCTCATTCATACAAGAATCTAAATTATGCAACGCATGAATATTTTAGAGAGAGAACAGGAGAATAGGGCCAGAGAGGGAGATGGACACGGAAGCACGCGTTGCCGGGTCTGCAAGGTGCATTTGTATGGGGTGGTGGGTCCTTCGGGTTTGCTGAAAAGCCTGAGCTACCGCTACGGGCTTGCCCTGTTCTTGGGTCCCACCTGTAATGGATCCACTCTGTGACCCTCTGATCAATTTCCTGTCCTTTTTATTTTCCTTTTTAAGGTAATCCTGTGAACAAATTTTTACACACCAATAAAATCACTTCATCTTATCACCAAGAAGAAAAGAAAAAGCATTTCATCCGTAGCGAGACTAGAGAAGTGAAGCAAAGCATCTTCTGAAGTAAAAGAAAAGTGTCAAGCAGGACAAGTAAATAACAAGGGAGGGACTATAAAATTATGTCCAAACTGCAGGTTAGATATTCGGTCTAACTTGTCCATAAATCAGCCTCTACAAGTTATTTGCAAATCAAACTAAAAAGCCACAGATATTTACATTTTATTTTAAGCCTGAAATATCATAATCTCTCTGATTTATAGTTTTACAGCAATGATACATTTAAATGCGCAAAAGATTTGATTTCCAGAGAAGCCAAACTCAGTAGATATATGGATGTCCGGGTGGTTCTTACCTTAGGCAGGAATGCATATCCATCCTCAAACTAATAACACATAATGAATTGAAATTAACTAAAACCATAGATATATATCAACCACAATAATGATGGTTATCGAGATTGACAGAGGAATTTGAGAAATACTACCTCTGGTCCTAATTATAAGAACTAGTTAACTAATTTGAGGAGATTAAAAAAAAAGTTAAATTAATTATTTGTAATAAATATGTGTTATTTTTCTTAAAATATCCTTGTTAATTAAGTATATTGATTAGAACTATCATTGTTCGAAAAGCTATTTTGAAAAAAAATACATAAATATTAGAGACAAAGTGAATTGAGATCTTATATTTAGGATCAAAATCAAAACTAAATAAGATATTATATTAAAGACAGGAGGTAGCATAATATTTCACTATATGTGTTAATGAATTTGACAACTCACGCGAGCTGATAGTTAGACTAAATTATTGGCGCCTATTTAAAGTAGTACTCTGTGTGCGCGCGTGTTTGTGTAACTATCGAGAATGACCAAAATATACAACATTGATTGGTTTTAATATTCAAATGTCTCGTCTGTCGCTTAACGGAGAGTCGCAAAATTAATTGCAGAGCTAGGAACACGAGGTCAAGTGTGTGGAGAACCTACGGCCCGAAGGTCACTAATTAGATTTCATAGTGAACCAACATCAAAGACATCTGTAACCCCAAAAAAAAAAAGTTTAAGTTCTTAAAATTTGAACTCACTTATAAATTTTTGACTCCCGCGTAATTATTTTATCAGTTGGAATTTAATCTTTATCATATCGATACAGAACTGATCATGATTTGGCATTGAGTCATCCTATATGGCTTCCGGCTTCCAAATCGTGGCTCAAGGCCGAGTTTCTGGTGCTCCCGGCCTGAAACAGATCCAAAACAATGTCCGAAAGACGAAAGCAAGAGAAAAGGCTATATCTGCAATTACGTGAGAAAATATTAAAGAGCAAAGAGAGAACTTCCAAGAGAAAAAAAATTACCAATAAGTCTCTGTAAGAACGAAAATAATTAAAAACCACACACTTGGAATGGGAATCATGAAACCTATGTTACATTGATTCATGGCGGGGTTCTGGTTGGACAGAGTAGGGAGGAGGTTTCTGCTGCTCATCAGCTATTCTCGCCTTCCTCTTTGTTTCCCCCTTCATCGGATTCAGGCTTCTTCCGTTCGGACCCTGTTTTTCTTTTCTTTTTTTAAATCAAATTTTACGTAAAATCACGTGGAGATGATCCGGAAGCCACATAGGATGAATAATAATGTTGACTCGTGACCAGTTATCGGTGATAAGGACAAAATTATAAATGATACAATAATTAGGAATCGAGTTATACAGATTCAAAATTTAAGAATTGAGCTATATAAACTTCGAGAATAAAAAAAAAGGTTAATTTTTCTAAAATAAAATGTAAGGCACGGAAAGCATGAAGCTGGAAAATGGTGGCAAATAATGAAAGAGTGAAAGCACATCACATTTCATCTCAATTTTTTTTTTTTTTTACCTGAGATTTCATCTCAAAATTTTAAAGCTTATATATTTATAAATATTTCTATGTTACTATGTTTTAGGCATGAGATGGGGGGTTAGATTTTGTTTTAGACACGAGAATGAGATTTGAATCCATTTTATTTTTTGTATGTATAAATATTTTTCCAAACTTTCTATAAACTTTCTATATTAATTGGACAAGTTAAAAATGTTTTCATTACCTGGTTTTTCAAATGCAAAAGATTGAAGAGCATAATTTGAAAACACAAACGCATATTCCTTTTATATATAATTAACTTAACAGATTTTTTTAATTTGTATAAATACTTATTTAATTTTTAAATTAAAAATGGGGAAGAGTATTACTTATGAAACTTAATTTTAATATTTTATTCAACACTGAGCTTCTTACGTGAACTTCCATTTAGTCACGTTTAATTTGTACACATCCAAACATGAAAATTTTACATGCTTTGAAATAAGGATTAATAGCGCCTTTTTCCCTTGAGGTACCAAATTGAAGAGGACTTTACCCCTAAAAGGTTTCATCAATATAAGATGAGCCATGCAAACAATTGTGTGTGTGTGTGTGTTTTGGGGGGGGGGGGATGATGAAATTACTGGTTTCTTTATTTTGTGGACATATTAATCTGAAGAAGTGAATGTCCTTTGACAAAACTAATAATAAACTTTACATTACAAAATGGGTTTTATATTTAGAATCAGAGGAGTATTAGTTATTCGATACGAATAAAAACCACTTATTTTAAATTCTAATAATAAAAATTATAGGTCAAATTCCAAGACTAAAGATAGTACCACCTCTAGTATTTAATATAAAAATTAGTTAACTAATTTGAGTAGATTAAGAAAATTAGTTAGATTAGTTATTTGTAATAAATAGGTATTTGTTTTCTTAAAATACCCTCACTAATTAAATGTATTAGCTAAAACTATTATTTAACAAAATCTTTGACATGTGCAACTATTACAAAAACTATTTTGAAAAAAATTTATAAATATGAGAGATAAAGTGAATTGGGGTCTTATATTTAGGATAAAATTAAAAATCAAACTAACTCTTATATTATGAACTAATAATAGTGAGTGCCAAATACCCAATAATTTTTTATATTACTGTAAAGTCTATACTTTCATTGGTTAAGGTGTGTTTGGCTAGGAGAATGCAGGTATGTTTGGATATATGTTTTTAAAAAGTCAGTTGAAAAAGTTAACAGTTGTTTGCATGATTAATAGAAAAGTTAATTTAATTATAAAATGACTGAAAAAGACATAGACTTTATTGAGTAGTAGTGTTTGAAATTTTATGTTTTTAATGTGATAATAATTTAAAAAAATACATAAATTATTATGATAAAATATAAATAGTTTATTTGTGAAATTATAAAATAAACAAATTTGTTACATAGAAAAATTTGAAAACACGTTCTGGATAATTAATTAAATATATAATGAACAAATATGAATATAAATTAAAATTCATTTGGTTCGAATAAAAGCTTAGTATGCTAACAAAGGAGATGAGGCAGAGAAAAAAATATGAGGGTAAATCTGCGATATTCATTTTTAATGATCACCGTTTGAAATTGCAGTTTGAAAAGTCAGATTTTTCTCTGTCGAGTCCAACTGAGGTTGAAAGCTAGAAGTTGGTTGAAAAAGTTAGCCCAACTAAACAACGTTTTTTGTCCAACTCAGTTTGCAACCCCGGTTTCATTATTTCTAAGACATTTTTGCTGTTAGAAATGGCAATCCAAACATGTCCTGCATCATTAAGGTGTGCACGTGCGTATGCATGTGCGTACGACATTGAAGATATATGAATTTGAAGTGGGGTTCAGTTTGTGAGTAAAATTTGAAGGGTGCAAGTTATGTAGTTCGTGCTGGCAACATGGGAAAAAGCCCAACAAATATCGCTTAGCCCGTTAATTGCATATTGGGCCCATTAATTAATCACATTGATTATTAAGAAATGCGAAGCACATGTTGGACGGTGTTGCCCGCTGTTTGAACTTTCTGAGCAATTCCAATCTCAAGACAATGAAATGAAAGCCCACTCTATTATTCAATATACCACTTCTTTTATTTTCGATGCATTAATATATTATTTCTAATCTTTAATATAAGAATCAATTACATAATTTAAGTAGATTAAAAAATTTGTCAAGTTAGTTATTTGTAATAGATAGGTAGTATGTTTCCTAGAATACCCTTATCAATCATATATATCAGCTAAAAGCCTAAAACTATCATTTAATAGAATATTTAACATATGCAATTATTACAATGATTACTTTAAAACAAATGAATAAATATGAGAGATAAAGTAGATTGAGATTTTATATTTCGGACCAAATTAAAGTCAGCGGATGTAGTATAATATAAGAGTTAAGTAATCTACATCTATATATATAATGTAAAAATTCCGCATACATGTGAATTTTTT